AGCTACACCCAACCTGTACCCCACAATACAGCTACACCTGACCTGTACCCCAAAATACATCTACACCCCATCTGTACCCCACAATACAGCTACACCCCACCTGTACCCCACAATACAGCTATCCTCCACCTGTACCACACAATACAGCTACCCTCCACCTGTATCCCACAATACAGCAACCCTCCACCTGTACTCCACAATACATCTACACCCCACCTGTACCCCACAATACAGCAACCCTCCGCCTGTACCCCACAATACAACTACCCTCCACCTGTACCCCACAATACAGCTATCCTCCACCTGTACCCCACAATACAGCTATCCTCCACCTGTACCCCACAATACATCTACACCCCACCTGTACCCCACAATACAACTACCCTCCACTTGTACCCCACAATACAACTACCCTCCACCTGTACCCCACAATACAGCTATCCTCCACCTGTACCCCACAATACAACTACCCTCCACCTGTACCCCACAATACAGCTACCCTCCACCTGTACCCCACAATACAACTACCCTCCACCTGTACCCCACAATACAACAACCCTCCACCTGTACCCCACAATACAACTACCCTCCACCTGTACCCCACAATACAACTACCCTCCACCTGTACCCCACAATACAGCTATCCTCCACCTGTACCCCACAATACAACTACCCTCCACCTGTACCCCACAATACAGCTATCCTCCACCTGTACCCCACAATACAGCTATCCTCCACCTGTACCCCACAATACATCTACACCCCACCTGTACCCCACAATACAGCTATCCTCCACCTGTATCCCACAATACAGCAACCCTCCACCTGTACCCCACAATACAGCTACACCCCACCTGTACCCCACAATACAGCTACCCTCTGCCTGTACCCCACAATACATCTACACCCCACCTGTACCCCACAATACAGCAACCCTCCGCCTGTACCCCACAATACAACTACCCTCCACCTGTACCCCACAATACAGCAACCCTCCACATGTACCCCACAATACAGCTACCCTCCACCTGTACCCCACAATACAGCTACCCTCCACCTGTATCCCACAATACAGCTACACCTGACCTGTACCCCACAATACATCTACACCCCACCTGTACCCCACAATACAGCTACACCCCACCTGTACCCCACAATACAGCTACCCTCCACCTGTACCCCACAATACAGCAACCCTCCACCTGTACCCAAAAATACAGCTACAGCACACCTGTACCCCACAATACAGCTATCCTCCACCTGTACCCAACAATACAGCTACACCCCACCTGTACCCCACAATACAGCTACTCTCCACCTGTATCCCACAATACATCTACACCCCACCTGTACCCCACAATACAGCTACACCCCACCTGTACCCCACAATACAGCAACCCTCCACCTGTACCCAACAATACAGCTACACCCCACCTGTACCCCACAATACAGCTATCCTCCACCTGCACCCACAATACAGCTATCCTCCACCTGTACCCCACAATACAGCTGAGGAAAACACATCCTTAAAATGTACCTGTTTCATGTGTAGATTTAAGGATATGAGAATAGGACAGCAGTTATTGTCAGTGTCTGGTTCCAGCTGCCCGTGTGAATGAAGGTATTGTGTGTCCATCTGAAGGCTTAGCTACACAACAAGTGAGATATGCAGGGCAAAGTGCAGAAGATCAGATGAACACAACACCTTTCATTCATGCAAATCACAGGAAATACTTACAATTAAAAAACATGAAGCACCAACTTGCCACTCAAAGCATACCTTTTATATAAATTACATACAGTGCCAGAGACTTTCTGTATCATGCAAGTGTGAGGTACATATATTTTTATATACTTTTTTCTGTGTAGATCAAACAAGCAGAAACTATGGCCTGGCATTGATGAAAGAGGACTTCAAATGATGTCAGTTATTTTAAAACAAAGACTAAAAAAAGTTCACAATGACAAGAAAAAGTATAATGAATATATGAATACATATTTTGACAAAGCATCTAAATATAACAAGCAGTCCCATGATATATACACAGGTGATGGTGCGTCTCCCGCTAGGTGGCCAAGGGTATAAATGAGGTGGCTGTAGGCAGTGACTGACCCTTGGTCAGTTGAATCACCAAGCAATGACCTTGAACTGCATGAGATCAGCCCAGGGCCAAGTGGACAGCCCCCAGTTATACAACTGCCCACCACCTGTACCTACAGACATAAGGACAGGGGTGGGTGGGAGGGATCAGCTAAGTTGGAGACAACTTGTGCTGGTATAACCTGCCTGTGACTGGTCAGCCTTTGTCTGCCCACTGTCATCAGCGGAGCATGCTGATTGAGGCAGATACTGCCTCCTCCAGGACAAACCATCCACAACAACAACATCACAATACTGTAATTACAGGGAATCTCAGTTACCGAGATAGTTCACTTTCACTTAAAATGAATCTGGGCTTTCAATAGATGACAAATAATCTGTTTCCATCTCAACTCAGAAACACGTGAATTAATGATGGCACCAGGAATACAGTCCAGGTCAACATGGCTACCACCAAATATACTTCAACTGGTTTAGTTTTGAATCTTCCAACAACTTGATAATTAAAAACACAATCATTGAAAGCTGGACAAATCAGCTGACAATGACTGTTCTTGCTTGTACACATACATTGAGCGTTACTCCTGCTCTCAATGTTCCTCTTCATACAGAAGTCATAGGAATCTCAAACAACTTAACATGTAGCAGTATATGTGTGTCACTGTAGTCTACAAACTATAGCCTTGCTTTCATATAATCTGGATTGGTTTTAGTTTTGTTTTCATAAAATACTTGTAATCCCGTCATGGTGCAGGACTTAAAACATTTCTACATCTGTGTTTACAACATATTCGTACAGCTCAACTAAAACATATTTCGTAAAAGTTTATAGTTTCATTCCTGATACAATGGTAGTAATGTACAACATGGGAAACTTCAGTAAATACTGAGCATCACTCTTACATTTACACCTGCTGTGTGCCACCAACAGGAGGTACTGCATGATTGATATGACATACACCCTACAGGAGGTGCTGGATGATTGATATGACATGCATCTTACAAGAGGTGCGGGATGATTGATATGACATACACCCTACAGGAGGTGCTGGATGATTGATATGACATGCATCCTACAAGAGGTGCGGGATGATTGATATGACATGCATCCTACAAGAGGTGCGGGATGATTGATATGACATACACCCTACAGGAGGTGCTGGATGATTGATATGACATGCATCCTACAGGAGGTGCTGGATGATTGATATGACATACACCCTACAGGAGGTGCTGGATGATTGATATGACATGCATCCTACAGGAGGTGCTGGATGATTGATATGACATGCATCCTACAGGAGGTGCAGGATGATTGATATGACATACACCCTACAGGAGGTGCTGGATGATTGATATGACATGCATCCTACAGGAGGTGCTGGATGATTGATATGACATACACCCTACAGGAGGTGCTGGATGATTGATATGACATGCATCCTACAGGAGGTGCTGGATGATTGATATGACATACACCCTACAGGAGGTGCTGGATGATTGATATGACATGCATCCTACAAGAGGTGCGGGATGATTGATATGACATACACCCTACAGGAGGTGCTGGATGATTGATATGACATACATCCTACAGGAGGTGCTGGATGATTGATATGACATGCATCCTACAGGAGGTGCTGGATGATTGATATGACATACACCCTACAGGAGGTGCGGGATGATTGACATGACACGCACCCTACAGGAGGTGCTGGATGATTGATATGACATGCACCCTGTTGCACCTTTATCACGCTAAAAAGACTGATTGATGCCACTTGCCTTCCATTGTCTGTATAACAGGGAACCACACAGCAAACAACTAATCATTCTTCTACCACACACAATACTACAATCACCAGTCTACAGGAGCCCTGTATACAAAAGTTAGGATGAAAACACCTGTTAGTTCTACTGAGGCTGTTAGGGTCTACATCTGCCTGGGTACGATATGTCAAGACTTCAACCTGTCCACCTATGTTCCTCCAGTGAAGTAAGATTACTGGCTTGTACCTGGGTACACAGTAGTTCTACCACTGCCACTATAGGCCCCAACATCTCACATGGAATACCGCATTTGGTTAAAATGTCAAGTTTTGAACAATTTACTACAGTACTTGGTATTTTAAAGTTGAAATTTAAGTGTACTCTGATTACATTTGACAGAGGTCTATCAAAATCAATTCTCTTGACAACAAGTATTAAGCTATTACAACTCTAACTAGTTAATAAATGGCCCATACTTACTTTCTAAATCTGTAAATCAACAGTAAATGTTCATTAGCATAGAAAGCAACAACACATAACAGTCTTCTGATCCTACCATGCCCCCACCAGAAGTCCAGCTTCTTCACCTGGACACATATGCTGATGAATCTGTCCTTAAGATTCTGACACCTCACAACCCTACTTCACACATATCCATCCCCACCTCCCATCCATACACTAAGCCCATCACTCTGTGTTCAGCAAACACTGTTTACTTGTCCTGTATAAGACCCTCATTAAAAGTATCCCTGCTTGGTACATTAGGATATCCGTATGGGGACAAAACCCTGTTACATTGAGCCAGTAATACAGGTGAAGCGGTTAAAGACTCTATGTAAATGACACAGTGTTGGGTGGAAGCTACGTGCCAATTGTATACATCAGAGCCACAAAGCCCTACATTGTATTGCTGTAAATCATGGGAACTGTAGATTATTTATAAACACAGTAAACTAAAGATATTTGCATGGAGTTTTTCCCCATGACTCTAGGTGGTCATTGGCAATAATAATATCCAATGAGAAAGTTAGTTTGCATCTATTCAGAATCTAGCCAGCATTTGCCTCACCTGTCCTTCTCATGGTGCGGAGTACTGGGGAAAGCCAATGAGTGGCTTGTCAAAACTTACCTAAATCCAATCGTCTTCGAAGCTGACGCATAGAATTCCTGATTTTCCTCTTCTCTTCATAGTCTTCTGTGACAGCAAGCTGCAAGAGAGTCAGTCACATTACCAGTGTTGTCTTACGTCCCTACACAAAGTTTCACTTGTAGGACACCAACTGTCATAAAATTCAAAAAGTCAGAAGTATTGTGGCCAAAGCCTATTAAACACACACGATCCCACCCAACCATCACAAAATTGGCAATGTTTCTTCAATCAAACTAAATTGAAGTGTTATCCTGTTGTGAGGTTATTTGTTGGGACAATATTGAAAGAGTGTTGGTGTGTTGTGTGTGGCTTGTCTCTCATCGATTGTAGCGTGTAAAGACAGAATAGCTTTCCCCCTCCAAATAGAGGTGTCTGTGGAGTAATCCCAGTGTCCACCTAGCCACATGGCTTACAGATGCACCACTAACTCCCACAAATCTTCATCACACTCCCGGATTTGGGAAGGCATCTCCTGAACAACTACTGGGTACTTGATGACTTGTGTATATCGGTAGACCTACACCAGGGTACTTGGTGACTTGTGAATATTGGTAGACCTACACCAGGGTACTTGGTGACTTGTGTATATCGGTAGACCTACACCAGGGTACTTGGTGACTTGTGTATATCAGTAGATCTACACCAGGGTACTTGGTGACTTGAGTATATTGGTAGATCTACACCAGGGTACTTGGTTAGTGCAATGTGCAATGTGCAATCTAACAAGAGTCATCAGAAGATGACAAATCCCCCCACCCACAACCCACCCCCCACCCCACCCCATCCCCCACAAATTCGAATGAACAAATCATCTGACTGCTACTTTAAGTCCAACTTGATAAGGAATTTTTATCTAATGTGTCTGTCTGTATACAAGAGTAGTTACTGAGCTATCAAACTTTACCATGCAATTGGGATTCGGAACTTGGTATTTCTGTGTAAGGTACATAACACTATGAACTGAGTCAAAATCAAAATTGTTGCTATGGACAGAGAAAAAATATAAATTCGAAAAATCCTTAAATAGCAAAAGGTATCAGTTGACAACATGGTCTTTGTTTCAAGAAAAAGTACCTATTAGTTTTAGAGATATGTCCGGGACAAACACACCAGTATGAGTCAAAGTCATACTTGTTGCCTTGGAAACAGGAAAATCTTAATTTAAAAAAAATTTCATTACAGCAAAAGGCACCACTTCAGCCTTTAAATAATACATGTACCAAGTTTGGATGAAAAATGTTGAAAAGTGGTTTAGTTCTGGTCCGGAAACGACACCTGCCTTCATTTGAGCTAAGTCTAACTTGTTGTGATGGAAACAAGGCAAAATCAAATTTTGAAAATTCCTAAATAGCAAAAGACACCACTTCAGCCCTTGTTTAATACATGTACCAGGTTTGATGAAAAGTCTTTTACAGTTTTCGTGTTGTGCTCTGGAAACGATATCTATCCCCACTTTTTGAGACAAATTGTTTCCATTGAAATAAAAAAAGGCACCACTTCAGGATCTGTTTGATGTATCAGCCAAGTTTTGATGGAAGATATTGAATGGTTTTTTGAGTTATGCTCTGGAAATGAAATGATTACAGATGGACGGACATATGGACAGACAGAAGAATATCGTTAACTATATCTTATAATGCAGGGGGGATAAAAAGCTCACTAGCCCTTTTAAAATACACTGATATAAGAACTTTGCATTACAAAGAGAATGATATTTGTGCATTCCCCGGACATACGTCACTACACTGAATGCCATGATAGGAAGCATCTCTGTCAATGTTGGTAATAAATTTGTAAGGGTGATCCTGAACCATTTTGACCTTAACCACATCAGGTTCTGGTCATATCTCCAATATGCAACAGAATACCACCACGCTCAGAGTTTGTCCTGCCATAGCATCTGCTGCCATAACTTAGTCTCAGCTTCAGATTGGTACTGCAAGGATAACGATGGTAACAAATGCGAAGAAAATAGATGAATGCATGCATGGGAAAATAATTATAGGTACAGTGATAAGTAAAGCAACACTCCCTGGGCAAAACAGGATTCATTCAGCCACTACCACCCCAAGCATGTTGAAGGTAAGAGGCAACTAACGGGATTGGGTGGTCTGGCTCACTGACTTGGTCGATGCATGTCATTGTATTCCAATTGAGTGGATCGATGCTCATGATGTCAATCACTGGATTGTCTGGTCCAGACTTGAAAATTTTATTATAAATTGTATATTTATATACTTATCCTATGTCACACTATACATTTCTCTTTCTTCTTTCGATTCTGTGTGGACACGTATCTGAAATAAAAGTTTCCAGCTTCTAAAGTTAATTAAGCCTGTCATACCTCACATCGCTAAGGTCACCTCCCAGATCTTGGTCATGCGCGCTATGCATGCTGGTTGACCTTCTTGCACTGATCACGTGTCTATCCCAGTCAACTCATTCTCTTTCAAGAGCATATAGACTAAGGAATTGCGATGTGGGGATGGACGGGTGGGCATATAACGTGTGAGATAGGATAAGTATATAAATATACAATTTATAATTTCAAATTTTTAAACTTATCCTATCTCACACTATGCATTTTATCCCACGGTTGGATGGTGGGGCGCAACTCCCTTGTCTATAGATCACAACCGTAGGATATTTACGAGGAAGCTGGAACTTAACAGTGGTACTATACTTAATACAGTAACACAGTTAAGAGTCGTAAAACAAAAAACAAAAAACAACACACAAAAAAAACAACTCGTAGACAGGATAAGCAGAACACTCTCAAAGAATGTTGAGATCCTGATACGTGAACAACTGAAACACCACAAGTCGGGTACAACATGTGTAACATGTTCAAATGTAATCAAGCGTAATCGCATGTCTAAAACGAACGAGTACGACTTATATTTGAGAGAGTATACATCCCGTCGTCGAATCTACAAGACAGGGTATTCCTATCTCCAGAGGACGATAGGTTGGACCCGCTCGGCATCTCTTTTATCGCTTCGTCAAACCCTCAATCATGTAAGTGATTGAATCGATGGGTAAAAAACGAGAAGAGGAAACGATCAACAATATCCACAAAAGGATCATTGATCCGTTACTCAACACACATACCTAAAGTAGAGGTGTTTGAAATAAGGGATCGGGACACCGAAATCGGCCGCGTCTAATGACGACTTCAAGTTGAAGACCAAGGTCCCTACAGACGAGTGATTATACCCTCCAACCGGATACTCAGTCTTGGAAGCCCGAATGAATACAATAAACACCAATAATCATGACAAATGTTTATTATAAATAGAGATGGATGTAATGTAATGAAAATCTGTTATACATCTCCCTATCTGTGCAGGTGTGTCTTTGAGATCTGTTGTGCGAGTACCAAGGGTCCAAACTGGTGAAGGCCTTGAACGTCTGTCACTGAGATGTCTCGGAGGTAATGGGATGCGAACACGGTATCGGATTTCCAAAAACATCCCTCCATAATTGCGGTCAAGGAGCAATTACTATGAAGTGCCATGGTGGAAGCGGCAGCACGGGTTTTGTGAGGATTAGATGCGACTGGAGCAGGTAGGCCAGCGAAGGTGTAGGCTCGAAGGATCACTGAGCGTATCCAATACGAGATTGTGGTATGGGAGACTTCCGTAGTAGCTGCCGCAGAGAGCGGGATGAATAACCTCTTACGTAATCGACAAAGTGGTTTCGCCGCTTCCAGATAGATTCGAAGTGCATGTACCGAACACAACGATATGTCTTCGTCAGGGTTTAAGAGGGCAGTCAACGGTGGGATACTGAATAGTTGATCGGGTTGACCAGGGAGTTGATTTTTGGTGATGAAATCCCATCATAGTCCCAAAAATACTTTCCCATGTGCAGTTCGTTCGAAACGTACTCTGTTGACGTCTTAAGTGAGAATTTCACTCACTCGAGCCGCCGTTGCAAGGGCCAGAAGGAAAACTGTCTTCAAAGAAATGTGTTCAAAATCTTTCTCGTTAGATGGCGAAGTATGATGTTTAGATCCCAAGTTGGTGGTCGAAAACGTGATGTTTGGTCCGCCAACTTGTACGATCTGATCAATGATTGTAATTCGGCGATTGTGGAAATCTAAGTGCCCGTTGTAGTTGCGATGACAGAATTGATCGTAGCTAAATAGGTAGCTAGAGTTGAACCTTTTAGTATACGAGATGATCGAAGATAGTGAAGGTATTCAGCAATTTGGTGCTGGTATGCCGTGGCAGGTGTGGAAATGTCATGTGAATGACAATACGATTCAAATGCCTTCCATTTATGGTCATATAGTGCTTTAGTAGATGACCTGTGCGCCCCCGCAATGGTCTTGGCCACTCGTTCAGAATAACCCTTAGCTATCAATGATTTCTGTTAATGCGCCAAACGCATAGATTGAGGGTTGTTGGCGACGGATGACGGAGCTGAGAGTGTGGTTGATGCAGAAGATCGTCCCTTAGAGGTAGATGGTAAAACTTTCTGTCTGCGAGACGAATGAGCATTATGAACCAACTGCGTGTTGGCCAGTAGGGCGCGACCAACAGTAGAGTGAGGCGATTGGTCGTTGATATCTTCTGTAGAACCCGATGTAGAATGCCGGTTGGGGGAAAGGCGTAAGCATGTAGTCCTTCCCATGGGATTGCTAACGCATCATGGTCCCAGGCTAGGGGGTCTGGGATAGGAGATACGAACCGGGATAGCTGAGTATTGAATCGGGTTGCGAAGAGGTCAACGTCTGGGCACGGAAATAACTGGCAAATCCACTGAAAAATCACGGGATGTAGACGCCATTCCGTGGGAGATTGTTTGTCGGGTCGGGACAGGGAGTCGGCTATGACGTTGGCGATGCCGGGAATATGTCTCACTCGAACTTGAATGTTGAGTGAGTCGATCAGTTTGAAGAAGTCGAGTGCTAGAGATAGAAGTGACGTTGACTTGGTGGATCCCATCTTGTTTATGTACCACACGACCGATAGGTTGTCTGACTGAATCATTAGTGTGGAGGACTGAAGGAGTGTTGACCAATGAGACACTGCCAGAATCACTGCTTTGAATTCTAGATTGTTGATGTGAAGCTGGCTTTCTTCTAATGACCACCGCCCTGCCACTTGTAGGTCTTGGCAATGAGCTCCCCATCCGACGGTTGAGGCGTCGACGAACAGGTGGAGGGTCGGGCTGAATGGTTGCAAGGAGACTCCTTTGCAGACATTTGATGGAGTTAACCACCATTTGAGGTGTGGGTGTAGATGGTTTGGAAGAGATATTAGAACCTGACAATCGTCGTCCAGAAGGAAAGGGCTTGAGGAAGCACTGGATTGGCCGTAAGTGAAGTTGGTGAGGGCTTGTGTTGATATTAGGAGACCAAGAAGTTGTTGCCATTGACGTAAGGAAAGTGGCTGTTTGAGTGCCAATGGAACGAGGCGTTGGATTTTCTCCCAACGATCTTGGGGTACAAACATTTTGCCCAGACTCGTGTCGAAGAGGGCTCCGATGAACTGGAGACGTTGTGTTGGAATAGTTTCGGACTTTTTGGGGTTGATGATCCAACCTAGTTGATGAAGTAGGCGTTGAGAGAAATCAAGGTGATGAAGTAGAGTGTTCGAATCCTTGTTGGCTTGAATGCAGTCGTCAATGTACGTTTCGAAGACGATGCCTCAAGTGTGTAGGAACTTGACGATTGGTTTTGTGAGGCAAGTAAATAGCCACGGGGCTGAAGAAATTCCAAATGGGAGCACTCGCCATTGGTAGTGTTGGCCGAGGAACACAAACCGAAGAAAATGGCGGTGCTCTGGCAGGATAGGGACGTGTAAGTACGCGTCTTGTGTATCTAGGCTGATCATGAAGTCACTGGGATGAATAATCGTTCGTAGTAGAGCATTTGATGTCATGCGAAAGTGTGGAGGAGTCTCTAGGTATAGTTTGTTGAAGGTTTCCATGTTGAAGATGAGACGTAGTTGAGGACTGTTTTTGGGGGGAACCAGAAAAATTGGAGAATAGAATCCTGGTGTCATTGGCTGAGTGCCCAGACACTCTATTGCGTTCTTTACAAGTAATATGTTTATGGCGTCTATGAGAACTGGAAGTTGTTTGGCTGGATACAGGTGTTGAGGCGGTTAGCACGTCGTCGGAGGTGTGGTGGCAAGAGGTAGAGGATAACCTGTTTGTAGGAGAGGGGCCACATATGGGTTGTCTAGGATGGTCCAGTTTAAAGCGAACGTGCCTAGTCTTCCGCCTACGGGAGACGAGAAAATCGGAACGGCTGGAGTCGGAAGGTCCCAGTCGTTCTGCTGTTGTCGTGAGTCATTTGTGGTTAGTGTCTCCTGGCTTAGGAGAGTTAGTGTTTCCTTTAGTACCTGAAAAGGAGACGGTGCGTCCGCCTGATTTCCCTCCTCGCTGATGTTGGCGTGCTCGGCCGCGGCCACGAAAAGAAGCAGACCTATTACTCAAAACTTCTCTAAGGTCTTGTTGAGAAGGAGTAAAGGTTGGTCGTCTTCGGTCTTTCCTTTGTTCTTCCAGTTGATTTTTCTGGAGATGAAGTAAGTCAACAGTGACTTGCAGGGAAGTGTCTCTTTGGACTTCATGGGCGACCTCCTGTATGCACCCAGCAAAAAGGGAGTGCGTTGACCATGGCATTTGGTACAGCCTGTTCTTAAATTGATCATCCCATGAGCAATGTTGTAACACCCCCGTCTACTAAGAGAAGTGATAGATCCTGCATGGTGAGCAAGGAGGTTTAGTATAGCTGTCGTTTTATCCTGGATGAGGGTCACAGCACCTCGAATACAGGATTCTTCCGAGGAAGATGCATGAGCTAGAGCCGACGAAAGTGCTTCAGTTGCTGATAAAATAGTGGAGACCAACGGGAGGGTCCTTCGAACAGTGGTGTCGAGGTGAACGAGGTCCCTGTCATCCACTGAAGAAGCTGAGTACGGACGCTTAGGAGCTAATGTTGCGATGTCACCATCTAGTTCGGGAGAAATCGTAGACAAGCCATGAGTCCCTGCATCCGCCAATACAAAGCGTGGAGATTGAAGCCGATCACGAAGACGGCGAAAGGATCCAAATGCTTTGTCTAAATTGGTGGCCATATCCTGTAGGACTGGTCTCAGAGGGAGTGTAATGTTCGGCGACGAGGCTGAAGGCACAACAAATGATGATAAAGTGTCCTCCGTTGAAGTGCTTTTTAACAATTGTAACTTATCTGCTATCCAGATAAGTACAGTGATCTGATCGGCTATGTCGAAGCTCCCAGAAGACGAAGCTGGGGAGGTATAGTGGTCTGATGACTCTGATTCTGGTGGTTGATCCACTGAAAGGGATGTAGTGGGTGTCGATGCAGATAGAGGTACCGTAGTTGGTACAGCAGGTGCCGGTTGGGGAAGACATGCTGCTGTTACAGCCTGTAACAGAGAACGAATCTGTTCTGCTGGAATAGCAGAAAGTTCCCTAGGGATCCATGATGTAGGGATAGCTTTAGATGGAGCTTGTGATGTTGCAGGAGTCTGTGATTCAGAGGAAACAGGAGGGTGTCAAACCGGAGGTGGCGATGGGGAGCCGGTACGACGAGTAGGTGAAGTAGAACTCTGCCTATCTTTAGGTGAAGGACATCTACTAAAGGTAGCTGATCTGAGTGGTCTATCTCTATGTCGCCGAGGAGAATCCTCATGACGAGAAGAGGAAATGTGGCTTGACCGATAAGGTCTGTAATCTGGATCATGAGGATACCCATGCCATGGAGGGTGGGGATCCCTGTAGTGTGGGTATCGTTCCAACTCATGTGCGTAGGCACTATATGAAGTAGTGTTCCATGGGTAATCACCACGTTGATGAAAATCAAAAGTGTGAGGGTAATCTCTTGGTCGAAACTCCGGATGGGTGAGTGAAGGAGAAGATCGAGACATGTAGGATGAATGGCTAATAGACTCGTTGTAGCGTTCATCCTCCGAGCCTAGATGTGATGGAGCTGAATAGTCTCTTCATGAGACATGATAAGGGGATGAGCGATAATCCGCTTGCCTGTCATAAGACGAGTAACGATCTGTAGGTGAACGTCGCATATTAGGGGAGTCTCTCGAATGTCTCCGTTCCTTGGAGGTTTTATGAACTCTCGTGTCCCATTGAACCTCCTTTGAAGTGTGTCGATACTTAGGAGTCTGTATGTCCTTTGAAGTTCGGTTCGATGGTGTTCGTTTAACCTCAGAGGTTCGACGAGGCTCGAATCTCTTTTGTTTGTCCGACGATGTACGATTCAAACGTGACTGTCGCACCTGGGGAGTACAGCGATGTTCGGAGGTCCGATGAGGTTCGGAGGTTCGATGAGGTTCGGAGGTTCGAGGTTAAGAGGTTTGAGGTTTGGAGGTTCGAAGTTCGGAGGATCGAGGTTCGGAGGCCCGATGTTCATAGGTTCGAGGTTCGGAGGTTCGGAGGTTCAGGGGTCCAAGTTCGGAGGTTCGGAGGTTCGGAGGTTCGAGGTTCGGAAGTACAAGGAACCTTCAATGGTGGGATGTTCGGTGAATCATCTCGGTGTCGAGAGTGAGAAGTCCGTTGGTCCCAGTCTGAATGCCGATCCCCCGATGATAGCACTGAATAAAGTGCACTGACTGTCGATGCTAGTCGATCCCGTGATGAATGTCTATCGTCTTGTGAATCCTCTCGGGAATGGGAGGTTCGTGAACCTTGATCCGATGAGTCGTCATGGGATATTTCGAACGACGGACCGAACTTATAGGGTCGACCGAGGTACCAGTACCATGTGTAATCTCCGAAGGTAAAACAGGAGCGAGCTCCATGTTAGTCGTAGAACACGACGAGTCGAAAGTACGAACCTTGGTTGGGTTCGATACGTTGGCTGACGTAAGCCGGTCATCCACACTCGTGTCTAACGAGAGGACTCGTCGAATGTCCGAGTCTCGGGATGTGGAGGGGAGGTTCGGCTTTGAAGGTGGATTCGTGGATACCTTAGACATGTCGTCTGTGAGAAAAGAGTCAGAGACCCCCTCATCATCTAACGAGATCATGGGACCAGTTTGATCCCTAGTATTCTGGCCCGCCTGTGAGGGTGATTGGGCCGATCTCGCTTTCTTGACAGGTGTTTTCTTGGCTTTCGTGGATTTTTCTGCAGTCTTAGAGAGACGATCTGACACCCGACGCCGACATTTATGCAGGTACAGTTTGAAGGATTCATCTGGTAGATCTGAGCAGAGCTCGCAACGCTCTAAAAAACTGCATAATCCACGACAATCCGAACATCGGGCATGAGGGTCAGACGGAGAGAAAACATCTCGGCACAAAGTGCAGACTGGTCTCTGTGTGGACTGCTCGTCCATTATGATGAATAACTATCCCAAACAGGGATATAAGTAAATTTGCAGGCAATTAGACAACAAAAATATGAAGATCGCTTGCAAGCGAAAAAGAAAAACCCAAAATGGATTCCTGTAATAACAACACGTCACCACTGCGTGGTGATTTGAAAGAGAATGAGTTGACTGGGATAGACACGTGATCAGTGCAAGAAGGTCAACCAGCATGCATAGCGCGCATGACCCAGATCTAGGAGGTGACCGTGGCGATGTGAGGTATGACAGGCTTAATTAACTTTAGAAGCTGGAAACTTTTATTTCAGATACGTGTCCACACAGAATCGAAAGAAGAAAGAGAAATGTATAGTGTGAGATAGGATAAGTATATAAATATACAATTAATAATAAGTTTAAAAATTTATTATTTACAGACCGAAGTCATATAGCCAGAATATTGCTGAGTGCAGCGTTAAAACAACAAACAAACAACAAGAGCATGTTGAAGACAACCTACCAATGTTTTGAATTCCTCCAGTGTTTCTATCTTGTCATAATCCAGCTGTAGTGTGCCTCCACCAGCAGGGTTGTCCCTCTGTACATGAGTAAGGGTTGTTCCCCTTGGAGTAAGGCCACGGCTACTATGTTTAACTTTGCTGTCATCGGAGTTGCTCTTCTTCAAATCACCTGAAAACAGAAGAACTGTTGTTTATATTTCCCCAAAAGGTTGACAACTCTAGATCTAGATCTAGATCTAGAGGGTGGGTGTGGCAGTCTCTCTGTTATCCTGATGTGAATGGAATTACCTATTTACTTTGTTTTTTCACCATGCGTGCATGCGTGCATGCGTGCATACATGCATGCGTGCGTGCGCAGTTTAACATGGACACACTCAAACACAGTCTACTGACTCAATAACTGATAATTTGTTTTCTTTATGCATTCAAATTCCTGTTGGCAATTGTCCAAAAAGCTGTTGAAGCTTTGTTTTTGTAACATCATATATGTTCATCACATTTTAAATAACATGTTTAACAACGGCTGAGCTAGATTTTATTAGGAACATCATTGTGATTTTGTCATTGTGATGTTTTAATACAGTGCTGTTTATTTATTCCACCTACAATGTCTAACCATAAGTTGCCGATAATTATATCCTAATACTGCAATCTTCAGACTATCAAGTTCACAGTTCTTCTGAAACAGTTTGTAGAATGGCAGTTAATAACTCAATGTCTGTCTTGTGATCAGGAAGGCCAGAGGCCATATACCAGTATATGGTCTCTGGGCAGGCAAAGACATATTTTCACAAGCATCCACCATAAGATAAAAGTGATAACAAAATATGATAAAGCCTCTTCAAATTCCATGTTCCGACCACCCCCTTCCATAACAAAACCTGACCTTCAAAACAATGTCCATGGATGAGATAAGTAGACAGTGTGTGGCAAGACAGATAGCAGGACATGGTGCTACCCACACTGTTGTTGGCCGCAGATCAATAACCACCTGCACTTTCCCACTACACAATCACTGTAATTACCAGTAACTATTGCCATATCTCCTCTCACACACAAAGCACCTGTCAAAGTTCATGAAATGTTTGTCAGGGTTGACATGCAATGACAATTATAACCTCCCTGCACAGAGCTGAGGAGGGGTAGTGTGATACCTACTTCTTCTCTGTAAAAATGACGGTGGGTGGGTGAGTGCAGTATGGGTTGGTGGATGAGATGAGCGTGGGTGGGTGAGTGAAGGGTGGGTGGGTGAGTGGAGGGTGGATGAGTGAAGCGTGGGTGGGTGAGTGGAATGTGGGTTGGTGAGTGGAGTGTGGGTGGGTTGGTGAGTAGAGTGTCTAGGTGAGTGCAGAATGGGTGGGTGAGTGGGTGAGTGAGAGGAGTGGGGGTGGGTGAGTGTGGGTAGGTGTGTGGAGCGTTGTTGGGTGAGTGAAGCAGGGAAGGGTGAGTGGAGTGGGGGTGGGTGAGGGGAGTAGGGGTGGGTGAGGGGAGTAGGGGTGTGTGAGGGGAGTGGGGGTGGGTGAGGAGAGTGGGGGTGGGTGAGTGGAGGGTGGGGGAGTGAGTGAGTGGAGTATGGGTTGGTGACTGGAGTGTGGGTGGGTGAGTGGAGTGTGGGTGGGTGGGTGAGTGGAGTAGGGGTGGGTGAGTGGAGTGTGGGTGGGTGGGTGAGTGGAGTAGGGGTGGGTGAGTGTGGGTAGGTGTGTGGAGCGTGGTTGGGTGAGTGAAGCAGGAAAGGGTGAGAGGAGTGGGGGTGGGTGAGGGGAGTGGGGGTGGGTGAGTGGAGTGTGGGATGGTGAGTGGAGTGTGGGTGGGTGGGTGAGTGGAGTATGGGTTGGTGAGTGGAGTGGGGATGGGTGAGTGTGGGTAGGTGTGTGGAGCGTGGTTGGGTGAATGAAGCAGGAAAGGGTGAGTGGAGCGGAGATGGGTGAGTGGAGCGGGGGTGGGTGAGTGGAGTGTGGTTGGGTGAGCAGAGCGTGGTTAGGTGAGTGGAGCGGGGGTGGGTGAATGGAGTGTGGTTGGGTGAGTGGAGCATGGGTGGGTGAGTGGAGTGTGGTTGGGTGAGTGGAGCGTGGTTGGGTGAGTGGAGTGTGGTTGGGTGAGTGGAGTGTGGTTGGGTGAGTGGAGCATGGGTGGGTGAGTGGAGTGTGGTTAGGTGAGTGGAGTGTGGTTGGGTGAGTGGAGTGTGGTTGGGTGAGTGGAGCGTGGTTGGGTGAGTGGAGCGTGGATGGGTGAGTGGAGCATGGGTGGGTGAGTGGAGTGTGGTTGGGTGAGTGGAGCGTGGTTGGGTGAGTGGAGCATGGGTGGGTGAGTGGAGTGTGGTTGGGTGAGTGGAGTGTGGTTGGGTGAGTGGAGCATGGGTGGGTGAATGGAGTGTGGTTGGGTGAGTGGAGCATGGGTGGGTGAGTGGAGTGTGGTTGGGTGAGTGGAGCGGGGGTGGGTGAGTGGAGCGTGGTTGGGTGAGTGGAGCGTGGTTGGGTAAGTGGAGTGTGGTTGGGTGAGTGGAGTGTGGGTGGGTGAGTGGAGTGTGGTTGGGTGAGTGGAGCATGGGTGGGTGAGTGGAGTGTGGTTGGGTGAGTGGAGCATGGGTGGGTGAGTGGAGCGTGGGTGGGTGAGTGGAGTGTGGTTGGGTGAGTGGAGCGGGGGTGGGTGAATGGAGTGTGGTTGGGTGAGTGGAGCATGGGTGGGTGAGTGGAGTGTGGTTGGGTGAGTGGAGCATGGGAGGGTGAGTGTAGTGTGGTTGGGTGAGTGGAGCATGGGTGGGTGAGTGGAGTGTGGTTGGGTGAGTGGAGTGTGGTTGGGTGAGTGGAGCGGGGGTGGGTGAGTGGAGCGGGGGTGGGTGAGTGGAGTGTGGTTGGGTGAGTGGAGCATGGGTGGGTGAGTGGAGCGGGGGTGGGTGAATGGAGTGTGGTTGGGTGAGTGGAGCATGGGTGGGTGAGTGGAGTGTGGTTGGGTGAGTGGAGCATGGGTGGGTGAGTGGAGTGTGGTTGGGTGAGTGGAGTGTGGTTGGGTGAGTGGAGTGTGGTTGGGTGAGTGGAGCGTGGTTGGGTGAGTGGAGCGTGGTTGGGTGAGTGGAGCATGGGTGGGTGAGTGGAGTGTGGTTAGGTGAGTGGAGCATGGGTGGGTGAGTGGAGTGTGGTTGGGTGAGTGGAGCGTGGTTGGGTGAGTGGAGTGTGGTTGGGTGAGTGGAGCGTGGTTGGGTGAGTGGAGTGTGGTTGGGTGAGTGGAGCGTGGGTGGGTGAGTGGAGCGTGGTTGGGTGAGTGGAGTGTGGTTTTGTGAGTGGAGCGGGGGTGGGTGAGTGGAGCGGGGGTGGGTGAGTGGAGCGGGGGTGGGTGAGTGGAGCGTGGGTGGGTGAGTGGAGCGTGGTTGGGTGAGTGGAGTGTGGTTTGGTGAGTGGAGTGTGGTGTGGTGAGTGGAGTGGGGTTGGGTGAGTGGAGTGTGGTTGGGTGAGTGGAGCGTGGATGGGTGAGTGGAGCATGGGTGGGTGAGTGGAGTGTGGTTGGGTGAGTGGAGCGTGGTTGGGTGAGTGGAGCATGGGTGGGTGAGTGGAGTGTGGTTGGGTGAGTGGAGTGTGGTTGGGTGAGTGGAGCATGGGTGGGTGAATGGAGTGTGGTTGGGTGAGTGGAGCATGGGTGGGTGAGTGGAGTGTGGTTGGGTGAGTGGAGCGGGGGTGGGTGAGTGGAGCGTGGTTGGGTGAGTGGAGCGTGGTTGGGTAAGTGGAGTGTGGTTGGGTGAGTGGAGTGTGGGTGGGTGAGTGGAGTGTGGTTGGGTGAGTGGAGCATGGGTGGGTGAGTGGAGTGTGGTTGGGTGAGTGGAGCATGGGTGGGTGAGTGGAGCATGGGTGGGTGAGTGGAGTGTGGTTGGGTGAGTGGAGCGGGGGTGGGTGAATGGAGTGTGGTTGGGTGAGTGGAGCATGGGTGGGTGAGTGGAGTGTGGTTGGGTGAGTGGAGCATGGGAGGGTGAGTGGAGTGTGGTTGGGTGAGTGGAGCATGGGTGGGTGAGTGGAGTGTGGTTGGGTGAGTGGAGTGTGGTTGGGTGAGTGGAGCGGGGGTGGGTGAGTGGAGCGGGGGTGGGTGAGTGGAGTGTGGTTGGGTGAGTGGAGCATGGGTGGGTGAGTGGAGCGGGGGTGGGTGAATGGAGTGTGGTTGGGTGAGTGGAGCATGGGTGGGTGAGTGGAGTGTGGTTGGGTGAGTGGAGCATGGGTGGGTGAGTGGAGTGTGGTTGGGTGAGTGGAGTGTGGTTGGGTGAGTGGAGTGTGGTTGGGTGAGTGGAGCGTGGTTGGGTGAGTGGAGCGTGGTTGGGTGAGTGGAGCATGGGTGGGTGAGTGGAGTGTGGTTAGGTGAGTGGAGCATGGGTGGGTGAGTGGAGTGTGGTTGGGTGAGTGGAGCGTGGTTGGGTGAGTGGAGTGTGGTTGGGTGAGTGGAGCGTGGTTGGGTGAGTGGAGTGTGGTTGGGTGAGTGGAGCGTGGGTGGGTGAGTGGAGCGTGGTTGGGTGAGTGGAGTGTGGTTTTGTGAGTGGAGCGGGGGTGGGTGAGTGGAGCGGGGGTGGGTGAGTGGAGCGGGGGTGGGTGAGTGGAGCGTGGGTGGGTGAGTGGAGCGTGGTTGGGTGAGTGGAGTGTGGTTTGGTGAGTGGAGTGTGGTGTGGTGAGTGGAGTGGGGTTGGGTGAGTGGAGTGTGGTTGGGTGTGAGTTGAGTTTGGGGGGGTGAGAATCAGTGTTTGATTCATGTGGACCAGGCAACACAAGCACAACAATCCCTTCCACTGGTCCACCAAATCCTACTTATGAAATCATTTTATAACCTTGTTTTCACATATCTTTTTTCAAAAAGAATACAATTACAAGATCTTTTGAAGACATCTCATGTAGTGCATCAGGTGGGTTTCATGCTGCAATAGGATCTGGGTTAAAAAGGTTGGGTGAAACAGGAAGGGTGAAATCCAATCTTGACACATGATGATATGGTGTGAACTAATAAAGATATAAAAATATTTTCATAATCCTTAAAAGCTAAATAAATTTGTATATAATGTTGTGTTACAACAGGTTATCTCTTACAATGGTCATACTTACAGCAATGAAATAAACCCTTCAAGAGAAACAAATCAGGTAAACATCTATATCCTTGTTCAGGGCTCAATATTTCTTACAATCCATGTTTGCATGTATTTAC